CCGGGTCATTTAGTTCGGACAAGCAGTGGGCTCCGGGGTATATCTTGGCCAGGCCGTGTAAAGAAGGTGATGAGTGGCTTTTGCGGCACATCCCTTCCAACCCTCCACCGAGACTGGGTATGCCGCGGCTGAGTCACCGAGGTTTGCACATCAGTCCATGATGGATGCATGATGGCTTGCCCGAGCGGGTGCTGATTGGACTCTGAATTGTCCACCGGGAACCCCAATGCATACACAGTATGGTACTAAAGGTGGTCTCGGCATTTTCCATTCAGATAAGCCAGTGATGAATCATTCATGGCCAGCCTGGAGGTGTCGACAGTGGGTGAGACGGAGGTGTGCGCACGAGTTGAATGGACGCAGACGTTTGCACTGCAGCAGCTAGTGGGCGCCCATCATCGACAGTGGCCCAACTGATGCGGAAATCCCCGTCTCCATCAATAGGAAGAGTCTGATCCTCGGTGCTCATGCCAAAATGTGAGCTGTATGATCTCGGTAGGATCACCTCGCAGGTCCGTAAATGCTTGAGGCGCTGTATGGGCTCAAAGTAAAGCTTTCGAAGTTCATCAGGCGACGCGAGCATCAGGAACTGTGGCATGATAATGGAGATGCGCAGCTGAGACAGCAACGGCATATCGGCGAGACCATCCCAGAATGCTTCGTAGCCATCGCGCCCCCAATGATGTGGGATAAATCTGGGGTGATTCCGGTCGAAGATGTTCACTTCCCATTTGAACTCCAAAGATCTGATGAGTCCCCAGTTCTTGGGTATCTTTACTTGAAGGCTCCTCAGATCATCGGAGGGGAGCCGTTCTGTGCCAACATTGACAATATGAAAGGTATTGGACTGATACAGTATGGGGATTCCTTCTTCGAGTCTACATGTACTTTAGCTTACCTGACCTCGGGTGTTGTATTGTATTGTCAGGACTTACGCTCGTTGGCAAGTGAAGAGAAGGTTGATATCCAATACTCTTCGGCGACTGGCAAGAAAGCAATGATGCTGGCGTGATGCAACATTCCTGAAGGGAACGGTCGTTGGCTGCTCACAGATGGCGTGGCGCCAGCGCTTCCTCAGACCTACCCTATCAGCGCGGATGGGATGGGTGGTGAAATTCAGATGGATGCGTTGACCGCCAAAGATCTCGGTATAGATGACAGCTCGCAATTCAGCAGGTAGCTTGCCAAACAGGGGCGACTCCAGCTGGTCCAGAGGACATGAGCTTTGGTCCGCCATGGAGATTGAAGAGCCCGCTCAAGTAGGAAGGTGTATTGACGGCGTATCCGTGAAGCGATGCCGACAGAGATGTTCCATTTGTTTCCCGGCGAGGCACCAACACAGGCACTGACATGGTGGTGAAGCGTGTCATGCCACGCAGCCAACCAACCCTGAGTGTGAGCGGGGAGACTGCCAAGGGCAAAGGTGGGGCCATTTGGATGGAGGGGTGAGCAGTGAGCATGCGGAACTCAAGGTAATAAGCCACCACAAGCTGCTCCTGACGGATCAACAACTCTCAGGCTGGGTACTCGCGGTCTTCAAAGTTTTGGAAACAATTATATTCGTATAACCATAATACCTAGTTTTGTCCTATATGACCAGCGAGTAGAGACACACATGTAGTCCGTACACTACAGAACTCGACTGCATACCCGTGCGCTAAACTGGAAGCCACCATCTTCACTTGTTTCACTCACTACCCCGCAATCGAGGACAGTCCGGGTGCCACGATTGGCCTTCCAGTTTGTTGACTTTCTTTTGAACCACTCATCGATGTAAGCGGACAATGGCCATCTCAGTTCGGACTGCAAGATCCGGAAATAGTTCCCCGACAACTGCAAGTCGCCAACAAAGATGTTCGGTGAGCTACCCCGCGTGAAGATGCTACCGAGGCAGTAGTGGAATGACGCCAGGAGTATCGGACGTGCCCAACATCGATTATCCTCTTGAAGAAAGTATTCTTTACTTTCTCCCCCATGTTTCTTGACAATCCAGCACAATGAGGTCGGCAGTATACTCTGTCGTCGCGGCTGTGCTCGCCTACTATTTCTACACCCTTGGCCCTCTGATTCAACGAGCCGTGACCGTACTGGGTGTTTTCCGAAGCTATCCGGAGGGTGACATCAGCACCACACAGCAAGTGACCTCTATTCCTGACACAACCCATTGTGAGGATCTTCACCATCACATTCCGAGCGGTCTCCTGTTCACGGCCTGTGAAGATGATGCTAGCACACGGTTTCAGTGGTTTCCCCCACTTGGCAACCTGGGAAACCCCCAGCTCGCAGCGAAGAGCAGAGGTTCCATCCATGTGATTGATCCCAAGGTAAGCTTTGGTCCCAGCCAACTGGTAGGCAACCCAACTGACCGCCTTGCTGTAGGGTCTTCAATCACGCCGACTGAAGTTCGAGAATTTCGACGGTGCTTTCATTACCCATGGCATTGATGTAATCGACGACCCCGAGTCGCCTACTGGCCAGGCTGTCTACATTTTTGCCGTCAACCACCTTCCTGACCCAACCCCTAACGTGGAAGGCGAAGAAGCAAAAGCAAGGTCACAGATTGAACTCTTCCACCACACAATCGGCACCAACTCGATCAAACACATCCGGTCTATCTGGCACCCTCTGATCCGGACACCAAACGATGTCTACGCCAGCAGCCCAACTTCCGTGTATGCCACCAACGATCATTACTACACCGGCCACAGCATCATGCGCATGTTGGAGGATGTCTACTATGGAGCCAAGTGGACAGACACTGTACATCTCAAGATTGATTCCTTGGAGCCAGTCAAGACATCGGACGCTGGTGTGACTGGCAGTATAGCCCTGGCTGGAGTTCACAACAACAATGGCCTTGGACACGGCCGTTCCGAAGACGAGATCTTGATTGCGCAAGCTGCGAGCGGTACGCTTCACATTGCTCAACTCCCACCGAAGGGTAGCTCGGATTACAACATCACCATCTTGGACACGCTTGAAATTGACTCTGTCGTCGACAACCCCAGCTTCTTCAAAGATCCTCTCGCCACGGGCCCGTCGGATGATCGTAGTGGTTTCTTGTTGCCAGGCATCTCGAAAGCTGCTACTCTGGCTGGAACCTCCAGGGACCCAGCCGGCAAAGATCCTGTGATCGTCTACTACACTAAGCCTTCAGCTGGTGTGAAGGCACAGCAGTGGGAGACCAGAGTCATCTTTGAGGATGACAGTAGCAGGATTCGGAGTGCCAGTGCTGCTGTCCTCGTCTCTGTTGGCAAGAGCAAGGCACGGCTGTTTGTGACGGGATTTGTCTCGGCTAACGTTATTGCTCTTGACATTGACCTGTAGGAAGCTTTTTACAAGGCAATACTTGTATGTTACATGCATTCCAGCTCACACGAAATAGTCAAGTAGTATTAATTCTCTGGGACTCAATTGCAATCATTGTTGATGTGCGCTATTTCCATATGATCCAATATCTCAAATCAGTAGCCCGATTAGCTCAGCTGGTTAGAGCGTCGTACTAATACTGGAAACAGTACTAAGTAATGCGAAGGTCAACAGTTCAATCCTGTTATTGGGCATCTTATTTTTCTTTTTCCTGCCCTTCATCACCCTTGTCTTTTCGTTCTTGGTCTTTTTGACGAACCTAGATTTCCTCCTTCCAAATATCATAGTCCTCAAAATAGTGATCATGAATCCTGTTTGCATACTCCACCACTGCCGGATAACTCCTCACCAACCTCCCCGTCTCAGGGGCAGCGCTGCATCCCATTGTCAGCCATATTCACCCAATATGCCTACTTCACTGACGCAGAGGGAAACTGACCTGGTACACATCAACCTCCCCGCCACCATCCCATACAATGTGCAATCCGCCTCCGTAGGCCCATCCCCTCCCAAAACCCAAAACGGTTTCCTGTCATCACCCTCCTTTCTCCTAGCCAAAGTCTTATTCCTCCCCTCAACAACAAATGCGTTGATGGCCTCCCACACCTCCTCCTTCAGTAATTTCACCTCCTCAGCTGAATACCTCCCTGTTCCTTGCCCGTACAGCGTCCGGATTATGTCCTTGTAGATTTTCCCGCCTATCATCCATTGCAATATCCAGGGAAGTCCAGCGCCCCCTGATCCGAGAATCCCTTCCCGCATGGGGTAGTAATTGTCAACCCATTGCTCGCGGGTGTTGAAGAATTGAAGTTTATCTTCTAGGAGGGATCTAATGGACAGGTCAAGAGCTTTTTCCGCCGGGGAGAGAGAAGAGTTGAGGTCGGGGAGGATGTTGTCGGCTATGAGGCGGCGGGTGATGAGGGTTGAGTCGCTAATCAGTTCGGGGGTGGTGTTTGGGGTTGGCTGGTAGGATAGGTAAGGGATCTTGCTGTTGGGGGATTGGGAGAGGGAGCCGGAGGCGGTGGTGTAAGAGATCGAAGAGAAGCGGAGGCGGGTCTCGAGTTTGTTGACGAAGGGGGACCAGGTGTGGTTGGGGGTGGGGGGGAAGTTGCGGTAGAGGGTTATGGTGGGTGTCATTTTGAAGAAATAATTGTTGCGGAAAGGTGAGGTTCTTTTGTTTCTTGAGGTCAAGTGCCATCTCACATCTTCTTTTGGCCGTGGTGATGCATCTTATAAGTGAGCACCCTCCTGCCGGGGCAATCCGGAGATGGGTGGAGCCAGATTCGGCCGGTGATGACCAATGCAACGGCGGACCAACCATCCAGTGCTGTGCCGCACGCCTAACCCAAGAGCCTCGCACCCAAAACCCGCTCGCCTTTGATGATGAAGCGATTCTCCGGATCCGAAGGGCGATAATCCGGGGTAGGTACCTGCCGTTTGAGTTACTAAAGGATTGCCCCATTATTGAGTCCAATGCTGTGCGATTGACAAAGGCAACACCCACCAATCGCTTCGGTTGGTTGTCCACAACCACCGACTTGTATACAACGCAGCCACGTTTAGAGTGTCCACTCCAGTTGTGGACCGCCCTCATAAGCCCAAACTCTGACTTGCATTCCAACAAGAAACAGGTCGCTTTGGCGGAGTGGTTAACGCGCGCCCCTGCTAAGTATGGATTCTATCCACACCCAGCTGATTAGGGCGTTCCCTCGGGAGCGTAGGTTCGAATCCTGCAGGCGACGATATATTTTGCCAATCCATCATCTTTTTGGGAGACATGTGATGTCCGGTCTTCTAGAGGAGCTGAGGAACCAGTCATGATGTGATAATACACGATGAGTAAGGCCGTGAGGAAAAGGGTAACGTAAATAGGAGAGATATTATCATTACAGGGTATCAAAAGTGTTCGTATCAGATGCCATAACCCCGTAAATGCAAGAGACCCAAAGAAGATGACAGATGTAAAGCGCGTCGTGGCAGTCCTATACAGTCCCCCCTTTCCCCCCTTTCCCAGCCATACAGCATTCTCGCTTTTGTTGTACAAATATGCATGTAACTGCCCACCAATGTTTGCATAGCACGCCCATAACCATTCGTACAGCCCGTGAAGTATTCACAGTCCTACATCTCACTAGGAGCCTGACCCAAAAGGATAATTGAACTTCAACAACCCGTTCAGTCCCCCGACCCAAGAGTCATCGTCCTCTCCAAACCCTTCCGAATCGTTCTTGGAGGATGCCCTGATCACGCAGGGTACACCACCCTTCCACCCATCTTCGGTCCTTTCCAGCTTCTCCCCTTCCACGCGGACCTCCATGCCAATCGTCACCCCCAGCCGCCGTTTCCCATCTATCGAGACCGGCAACTCCCTGCCACGGTTCCGCTTGCTGAGCCTCAGCACCACTTTGGTATGTAGTGGCAAAACCAAGGGGCGGAAACTAAGGCTTCGTGGGCTGATAGGCGTGATAAGAAGCGATTTAACGAGGGGATGAACTATAGACCCGCCGGCTGAGAGAGAGTACGCTGTCGATCCTGTAGGGGTACTGATCAAGATGCCGTCTGCTACAGCCTCGGTAAGGAAATGGCCATTAACATAGATATCGATAATGGCGAGATGCGGATGCGATCCGCGGTCGATCGAGACTTCATTGATGGCGTGTAGATATGGTGAATTTCCGCCTCTCTTTCCTGCTGTGCCAGGGGTAGAGGACTGAGGGGCCAAGACTGGTTCGCCTTCGAGGCCGAGCGAAGGTTCGGCTGTAGACGTTGGGAGTATGTGTTCGTTGATATTGTGGCCTTCGCTATCGTAGATGCCTACTCGGAGTCGGTTCCGAAGGAGAATCTTGGAGGTACGATTCAAGCCCATGCATTTTCCGTTCCCTCGTACACTATCCCAGCCTTCAGGATCTGGGAGGCCATCGATGGCCGTAGTGGTGGCTGCTCGGGTATGAGGATCCCCAAGATCTTCGGTCGAGACGCTACAGCCGCTCATGTAACATTCCCGAAACGCTCGTTTGTATTCGTCAAACTTCCACTCGCCGAGGAAGCCGAGGGTGCCCATGCTGAACGCCAGGATTGGGGGCACACTGAAGTGACTAGAGAAGAGACTTGCGGCGCGCAGAATAGTACCATCACCACCCATAGTGGTAACGAGGTCGATCTTGTCGGCATACAGTGCTGGAGCGTCAACAGGAGCGGCCGAATATATGGGGAATGGCAGGTCTTGGTGTATGCTCTGGGCAACATGGCTCTCGAACACGAGGTTGAGCCCGGGGTAGTTATTGTGAATGTGCTTTGCGAATTCAACGGCTGAAACGGTGACGTGCGGAGCGTGCAGCTTGGGCATGAGGAGGATGTTGCGTGGGGGTTCAGGCCAGTGTAGAGCGAGCAGCGAGGCCGTCTTCGTTTGTTGGTAATGGGGGACAATACGGTTATTCAAGGTTGAGACGTCGAGAATCTGCCTGCGTTTTGTTGAAGCAGAAAATGCGCGCCATGATTGGCTCCCGAGTGTATGTCTGCATTTGGTGATGCTGGTCACCTCGCTGGTTGTGTTCAGCAAGGCGAAAGCTCGAGCAGGGACACACGACCTCGGCATGGTGACATGTTCGAATGGCCGGCGGACCAGCTGCGCAGTGGTTCGGGGGCCTCGTTGTGGAAGTCGGGCGCAGTGATTGCCTAGTGACAGGTGCCAGTTTTATGTCGTTGTCTTCGAATACTCGATCCTGCAGTCAGGGTCCATGAAGAGCTTCAGTTCTCTGGGGAGGATTGGGGATGACATCGCTGTCCGTATCGATAAGAGATTACACCAAGACTATGGTTGTTCAACCAATCAAACACATTATCATTGCCGGTAACCCCGCTGGCGGCTTAGCCGTTGGCCCAAGCTCCAACCAAGCTTCCATCCGTCTCCACGGGTCGGAGCCGGCATTTACTGATCTTCCACACACAGGCCACCCCAGCTCGCCCAGCTCGCCCAGCTTAGTACTGGCGGTGGGTTGGTGGGGCGGCTGCATCCAAACTGCTGGAGCCTGAGCTGGAGCGGGAGACGGAATTCAGATGTCACAAACGAGGTGGGATGCGCATGTGCACACATGACGACACCTACGGCAGCCTCGGATAGGTACCCTGAATGGAGTTGCAATGTTTCATCCAGGACGGGGGATCCCGTGTGCTCACTCTGAACACCTCGGCCCCTTGACGATGTCGACAGGTAGACCTCCATGTCAGTTGGATCGGGGTCTCGGGAAACCTTCACGCCGCACGCACTGCATCCGGCCGCGCCTCACGAGCTACAACTACCTAACCACCTTAGCACCCAACAACCGTGGCTTCGCCAGCTCGCCAACCTAACGTTCTGCCTGCATCAGCTTCCACCTATCGCTTATCAGCTGCCCGCCTTGCCGTCAACCTTGCGCTTATCCTCCTACGATCGCAACCTTCGTACCTGTTGCTGCCTCGCACAAGACTCAACAATACAATAGCTTCGCCAAAACCGTTATTCACACCTCCGCTCTGCACGCCGCACGCCGCACGCCGCTCGCCCCGACGAGTTCATCACGTTGTTGTAACTCGCCCGCCGTTGCGGGACCTAGCAATGACGGTTAATACCAAAGCCGCGGCTCCGGCCGTTGCTCCAGCCCATCCGTCTGGAAAGGAAAAGCATAGCAGATTGGTCCAGTTCTGGAGAGGGTTCTCATTCTTCGTCTATTTTATGGCTGGCTGTATCGCGTAGGTCTTGTTGCATCATCTACTTCTACGAGTTCGTAGTTGACCAAAGTCTCTGTAGTATCCATCTCACGCAACTGATCGGAGCGCCGCTGTACTACGTCGACCGCGATATCTACTATTCCTATATGGCTTTGACGAAACAATCCTTTGGGCTTCTGATTACTACTTCGACAAACTGGTGGGGCCCCACCACGATACGCATAAGCGGGGATGCCTCGGTGGCCGATCAGATCAAGAAAACGAGGGACGGTAGGGTTGAGTTTTCGTTTCCAGAGCGCATGGTGATGATAGCAAACCATCAGGTACAGTCATTTTATCTGTGGCGATGCTGTCAGACGGACTAACCGTAGTGCGCAGATCTACACCGACTGGCTCTATCTGTGGTGGATTGGGTACGCCAATAGTCCTCAGATGCATGGCTATGTCTACATCATCCTAAAGGAGTCGCTCAAGTACATTCCTATTGCAGGACTTGGCATGGTGTTCTATGGCTTCATTTTCATGTCCCGCAAGATGGCCGTTGACCAGCCACGCCTGGCACACCGTCTCGGCAAGCTCAAAACATACAACACGACCCCCGAAGGTACGAAATACCTGAACCCAATGTGGCTCCTTCTCTTCCCTGAAGGCACGAACGCATCACAAAATGGCCGGAACAAGTCTGCAAAGTGGGCCGAGAAGATTGGGGTGAAGGATCCAGAGCACATGCTTCTACCCAGGAGCACTGGCAGTTTCTTTTGCCTGAACGAACTCAAGGGCACCGTTGATTACGTATACGACTGCACCGTGGCCTATGAGGGTGTACCGTACGTCTCCCTACCCCCTGCTTCGAGAGTTTGATGGCTTCTAACATATCATCTTTTCACAGTCGTGGAAAGTTTGGCGAGCAGCTTTTTACTCTCTCAGGTACCTACTTCCGTGGCCAACCTCCCAAGTCAGTCAACCTCTACTGGCGTCGATTCCGTATTGCGGATATTCCCTTGGACAGTGCCGAAAAGTTCGACGAGTGGCTTCGGGAGCGGTGGTATGAGAAGGATGCCCTGATGGAGCAATACATCTCTACCGGTCGTTTCCCTGCGAGCCCACCCACCGCTGCCAACAAGAATCAAGAAGGCTTTCTCGAGACCGAGGTCCGTACTCGCTACAAGTTTGAGTTCCTCCAGATTTTCGCCGTGGTCGGCATTGTTGGTCTGCTGATCAACCTTGTTTTGAGGCTCTACAATCGACTTCTTTCTATTGTTTCATAAGGCTCTGCATGGTTTTCGGATTTGACGAGATACCCCCTTTTACCGTGCTTTACACGACTCTATTTTTGGCCGAGATCGATATACCAAGGCGCAATCACGGAGTTAAGAGGATGGCTGAATCGTTTGGTGCAGTGGCAGCGCTGCTTTCTGGGCTTTAACGGTTGCGTAGCAACGTGGGAACGAGTCACAATTATAACATAGCGGTGTCGTGGTCATTTTTGCATAAGATACCTGGGTTTGGCGTTTGGGAGTTCGATGAGACGGAGGATGACGTTCATGGTAGTCTGGACTTTCAGCATTTATCCCCGTTCGGGAAGAAGACATACAGATTCTATCTACTTTGCATTTTGGCACCTCTCATGAGTCACGATCACCTTGCTTGCTGCACGAGCCTTGGACTGGTGTTCTGGAAGGAAGTTTTGGATTGATCGAGAACACTTGGCAGAACACTGGTGTAATGCCATCACTGGCAACTAGCGGTCTATGGAACCTAGTTGTACGCCCTTGGAGGGACGAAGCATCGACGATGTTCTCTGTCCGTAATAGCACCGAAGCGGAACGATATCGGAGTTTGACAGCAGCAATCTTGATGCCCCTCCGATAGCATACCGGTCCATCGGCCTGCCAGGTTTACACCGAATGTTGGTTATAGTAGGATGGCATGTGACCTGCTGTGCAGGCTTGGGACCAATCGGAATCGCAAAGGGAAACAGTTTGCCAGGGGCCTTTATCAGCAACATGGCAAATTTACCTGGTTCTGGAACTGT